GAATTATCCGGGTGCGAATTGTCCGGGAGCGAATTATCCGGGCGCAAATTGTCTGGAAGCGAATTGTCCGGAAGCGAATTGTCCGGGCGCGAATTGTCAGGGAGCGAATTTTCCGGGCGCGGATTGTCCTACAACCCTTTTATAATATCGTTGTAATGGCTCTTGTAAACGCAAATTATGAATTTATTTTCATTGATGTGAAAAACGGCAGACATTCAGATGGGGGAATTTTGGAGTATACAGAATTTTATCATAAACTGACGAACGGTGAGTTCTTATTTGTTTTATGCAACAAATTTTTTTTTTAAACAATAATTTTCCAGGTCAGTTACATTTGCCGGTTAATGATGAGACGGAGAAAAATCTGAATTTTGTTTTCTTAGGTAAATAAATAATAGCATTGACTAATTAGTCAATGATAATAGCCAAAGGTCTGACTCTTAGCCACCATGTTAAGGAGTTCCTAACCGACAAGGAACCGTGGAGCGAGAGAGCCGGACAATCGTGGAGATAGCCCGTACTTTCAAGTATGGGAAACCCGACGTCAAATAAATTGTTTGCAGCAATTTGGACGGAACTCGTCACAGCTGCTAGATATGTCTTCAATAGAGTGGGAAAACCCCATTTGCGGACAAGACGCCTTGGTGAGAAATCACGGATCCAACATCTACGCATTGTTTGTTTCCAATGCTACGTCCATCTTCCTGCACAGAAGAGACGAAAAGTGCATCCAAAAGCCTGTCTGGTCAGATATGAGGGTGATGCACGATAACTGATTTACATTCCTGAGAATGGGCGTGTTGTTGTTTCACGTGACGTCATATTTAATGATAAATCACCCGTGACGAAAGTGCTGAAGTGAAGAAGGATCGAGTAAACGAAGGGAGAACCCCGCTGGGGAGAAGCTTGACGACGAGCTACCTGTCGGTGAGAAACTTGTCAACGAGTCTATTCCAGACAAAGAATTGTGTAGTTCGGATAACATGTCCCGTGATGATTCGGATTCCTAATTCCCCCCAGAATGGCTAAAGGACTACGTCACATCCAGGAGTTCTTCTCATAGAAGACGAGTCTACGACCTTTAATGAACCAATCCGATGTAAGAATCTCGAAGAGTGGAAATCAGCCATGGATAGCGTTGGACAAAAAATCGATTAATCGATTATAATCAAATGATAACCGATAATTGGGTTTGATTATTCTTTTAAATTCATGGATTAATCGATTATTTGATTATAATCGATTATCTGATTAATCGATTATTTGATTAATCAAGTGCTTAATTACTCGATTATTTGATTAATCGATTAATCGGTATAATCATTCAAACTGTAATCGCCTACCCCTAGCCATGGACGCAAAAATTAAATCGATGCACTAGAACGACGCATGGGAATTGACAAATCTCTCTCCGGGCAAGATACCCAACAGAAATAAGTGGGTCTTTCGGATCAAGCGTAATCCTGACGGAAACACTGACAAGTATCGCGCGAGATTGATCAAGGACGTAGAGGACATCTTCATGAAGCAGCCCGAAGGCTATGAAGACGAGACAAATCATTACGCTATATAATGACCAGGTTACTGACGATGGATTAGTGGCACCCAACAACTAATTTGAGATGGACTTATTCACAAAACAACTACGCTCACAAATCGATATTGTTGTGAAAGAAGTATCCCACTTTGTGGGACTCAAAATTGTTCAACGCGATGGTGACATCATAGTCAGCCAATCAACGTATATCAAAAAATCCTTTTTAAATTCAATATGGGAGGGCGAAACCTGTTTTTTACACCGATGGAATAACTCAGCGTTCCATGTACAGAGAAAGTTCTTGGGTTCCCATATCATTGGGAGCTCTACTCTATGTAGCCCGCGAACCCCGTTGCGACATTCAGTATTAGTGTTTTATCACCTCGTTTGGGAAATCCTACAGAGGTAGATGTGGTAAGAGTAAAGAGAGTAATTCGCCACCTAGCAGGTACCATTAATCTGAAGTTGTGAAGTCGTTTGGCCAGCAGCGCTGGATATTTTTATTTTACAATAATTTGGTGTGGTTTAATTTTTCTCTGTTTCGGTGTTAGAATACGTCATTCTAGCACGTATTTTAGTGTTAGTCTGAACTCTATTCTTAAACGATTTTTAGTGACTTTTTTTCGAGAGTTTGCATTAATAAGTTTGACAGTCGGCTTATCGATGACGGAAGCTGAAATTATGTGCCGTGAACATCCATCATTTCTAAATTACG